ACTACCCTACCGTACGCGACTGGGGTGGGGGGGGGGGGGCGGCTCAAAATGAGATGTAACTATAACTACAAACCACACAGTAGTTAATAAGTGTTCATATATATGACCCAGTATTAACTTTTTGGTCAATTTTGATTAATATAAATGTGATATATATATATTGCTAAAGATCCACAAGAAAACACTAGATACAGAGTAATTAAATGAGTGTGGTTACTACTGAAGGCATTTCAAGAATCACATTTTTTGTTGTTACACACATATAGTATTGTATTAATCTCTGTTATTACAAAAACAAAATACCTATATCATAATGCTTTCACCTTTTTATACACAGTACTGTATTTTCAGAACTAGTGTTTGTCATTCCTAATCATATGCATGAACAATTTAAACAGTACAATGTCTTTCAAACTGTAAAAAACTCAAAAAATACAAACAGTGAGCCATACATACCTCAGGGGCTAGATACTCAGGTGTTCCACAAAAGGTTTTCGTTGTTGCACCATATCCGATATCTTCTTTACAAAGACCAAAGTCTGCTATCTTGATATGTCCTTCTTTATCTAGGAGTAAGTTTTCTAGCTAAAGACAACAAATATTCAGTACAAATAATGCAAGGTCCATTTCATGATAATAAATACATTTTATTTCTTCAAGTATATGTTCTACAAGTTACTTTTAATGGTCACTGGTAGGCCTAAGTTCACACATTTGCTAACTTCTCCTGTACATATAGTACTTTCTTTTATCTCTATTTCTTCATCATAAACACAAACTCAAAACTTAGAAAACTTAAGTAACTGACTTACTGGCCAACATTGACAGACAAATTAAGTAACAAAACTCACTAACTCAATAATCAAACCTTATCTGTGCTATCTTGCTTTATATTGCTGAAATTGTTTCCTAAGCTCATGAAAATTCCAGATGTTGAGCTCCCTATGATTACTTGATGCGAAAACTCCCTCTAGCCAACATTAATACAAATGTCTAAATTTAAAAACACAACCTACAACAATATGTTGCATAACAACCTAGAAACATTTTTCAAATTATTTTTCATATGTTCTTTAAAAATTACTTAAAATATAATTCTAGTTTCAGGTTAGTGGAAAGTCAAAACTAAATATTCATATTTCACATAAAATTAATTTTATTTCAACAATAATAACATAGAAATTTTACTCATGTTTTGTTTCATTGATTTAAACACAATGTATTGTGATTTGTTATGATACTACAGGTAAACTTTCTAACATAATGTTTGTGCTATAAAGATCAAGTATTTCATATCAGGGACAAGATCCAGGAAACTTTATTTAAAAAGTTTCTATAGAATGCAATAATGAAATCACAGTACATTAATTACTGACTCAACCAAAGTTTAACACTAACAACTTATGACAAATGACAGTAACAACCACAAACCTTTAGATCCCTATATATAATTCCTTGAGTATGAAGGTAGTGCAGAGCAAGTAAAACTTCTGCACTGTAAAAACATACTCTTTCTTCAGTAAAAATTCTTTCTCTCGAGAGATGAAAGAAAAGCTCCCCACCATTGACATACTCCATCACAAGACACAATCGATCAGCTGTCTGGAATGAATACTTCAAAGACTGAAAGATAATAATAATAGTAATTTTATTTTTCTTATATAAACTTCTTTTTAACCATGACACATGCAAAGGAGTATGGCAATCTATTTACAAAACAAGAAACATTTACTTTATGTCAATGTTTTCTAGCTATTTTAAAAGTTTTCGAAAAATTAATAAAATCCATATGGATTGAAACAAAATAGAATGAAACACCTGTTTTCATTAATGACACATAATGCAGATTAGGCAAAATTCTTTTGGCAAATTTCAAAGTAAATGATTAGTGTTTAGGGCTATTTATTAGCAATTTTGATTATGAGAAAAATAAACTAATGTGATAAAAAATTGCTATTAATTTTTTTTTAGATTTTAAGTTATGTAAATGTCTCGAGACTTTCTACTATCTACACCTACACTCTTGATATTAATTTTATTTAAAAATCCATTGTGCATACACATTTGAATGTGTGTAGAGTATTTCATTTCCTTGCTGCAAGTTCAGTGTATCAGAAATAAACTTACATTTGTGTATATACATGCAAAACCAACTGTCTCATCTAACACCAGAAGTTCAGTTTACATTGCCACAATATCAAAACCAAATCAACAGCAAGAATTTTTCATATCAACACTACTAGTTTGATTGGAAATTTTAAGTGAAATCTTCCAAAGACCAAACTATTACTCAAAATGTAATAAGGCTGTGTATTTTACATAATCATGGAAACATTAATGAGAAATTAGAATTTAAATTGGACTGGATTCACAAGATGCAAAAATATTTTAGTTAGGAAATAATAATAACTGAAAGTTACTTATATGTTCTTTTCTTTCTCATTAATGAATATTTATTGTTATTATTCAATATGATTATGAACACTTGAAACAAAATTTGATAGTGTTTCTGATATTCAATATTATAGGTTTATTTATATAATAACCATGTACTCTCTATTTAAATACTTGTAATGCTTAACTAACATTTAATTTATAAAGTTTCTATTACTATAAAAATAACACAACATAATCTTTTGAGACAACATGGGACCTATTGGCCCATCTTGGCTATTCCATCCTCAAAACTAAACTAAAACTATTAATAAGTAAATTTAAATAAAATATCTTAAAACCAGCCCTTATCATTCATACAGTTATCAAGCTTTCTCTTAAACTCACTTAAATTTACTGCCTCACAACATCCAAAGCCAACCCATTTCAAAGGCTAACCACCCTGTAATAAAAATAAAACTGTCTTAGCTGAAGATGACTCCTACCCTGCCAAAATTTATACTTGTGTCCCCTAGTCCTACTATTCATACTGTTGAGTATGAAGGAAGATGATGCATCAACACTATCAATTCCCTTTACAATCTTAAACATCTCAATCAGATCCTCACCCTAACTCTTCTTTTTTCAGGAGAAAACAATTTTAGAGATTTCAACCTCTCCTCATATGACAACCCCTCCATCCCAGACACCATTCTGGTAATCCTTCTCTGAACCCTTTCCAACAGTTCAATGTCTTTCCTGAGGTAAGGAGCCCAAGACCAAACACAATATTACAAATGTGGCCTAACCAATGGCCTATACAACAAAATTATAACCTCTTTAGACTTGTATTCCATATTTCTGTAGATACAAACTAAAATTCTATTTGCCCTACCTCTAGCAACAGCACTCTGCTTGGATGGCTTTAGAGACTGATCAGCTATTACACCAAGATCCTTTTCTTTCATGACACTGTTAAGGTTATTCTCATCCAAATTATGATAACCCACATCCATTATCTTGCATTTATTATAATTAAAACCCATCTGCCATTTATTTTACCAACTCTCTAAATGATCTAAATCCTTCCATAAAGTAGCAGCATCCTCCTCACAGACCAAGACCTTAATATCATCAGCAAATTTAAGTTATTTATTGACCATTCCTTCATCTATGTCACTGATGCAAATCAAAG